ATATATATATATATATGTGTGTGTGTGTGTGTGTACGTAGATATATTGGGATGGGTCTTGACTCCTCCCTTGGTCTAGAATGATGAATGCTGGTGGAAGGGCAGCGTAGCTACAGGTACTTTGTATATTTAAATACAAAGTCTGATTATGTGTCTGTGGTTAACCTTGTTTTTATATTTGCGTAGGTAGAGACATTCTCCTCCACATGCAATATATCCTGTTGCTTCTTTTTTTAAACGTATTTGTTTGGGGTTTAGGGTGGGAAAAGATACAGCGTAATTAATTGTAACCTATTACTGCATGACAGTACCTCCTCGTTTTAGCGCTGCACTAAGCTTTTGGCTATGTCTGCATCAGCAAGTAATGCAGCACACTGAGTCACGTGTAGACTGAAACAGCTGGTCCACCTGTGCTACATGTTTTGGATTGGTTTTTACTTGGGATATACACTAATCTCAGCTTGCCTACTGAATGCTCACTAGCGACCATAGCACTTCTGGAAGCTGTCTTCCAGTTTGGTTTCGTCTGAAAGGAAACTAGTTTGTGTGCTCAGAGCCTGCTCTGTAATGTGAGCCGCAGCAGGGTGAGTGGCAGCAGGCTGGAAACTTCAGAAATGCATGTCCGATATCAGCTAAAATACTACGGTAGGTGCTTCCGCTATAGTCTGTCCTGTTGCAGTAAATTATACTACACGGTAACAAAGGAGTCTGGAAGCTCCAGGATTTAGTGTTTCTATTGGGGGATGCCCAGTTCTAAAGGAAGACCGTCACCGCCTACAGAAAAATACATTTGCTCGGTAGACTCTCACAAAACTTGATTATAGCCCACTTACTTATGGGTACCGTCAAATTACAGGAGTGACAGCTGGGGGGAGGGAGGGCGTCACTCAGTGGTCTTCAACTCTGACCTTGCAGTAAGAAGAAAAACTTTTGAGTTATCTTTGTACGAAGATGACCATAACTAGCCCAATTATAGAATTATACTGATTAGGACTAGGACTTGTGTGGAACAGTATGAATTAGAAGCCCATATTCGTTTGAAAGCCCCAAAGCAAGCCCTTTCTTTCCAAAAACTTTGAGGGTGAGGGAACACTGTATAAAACTCATTCAAAAGATCAAAAGTACAACACAAATAGACAAGCTCATGTTATTCTTTAAACATTGTAATTTGAAAAAGGTTGCAGTGGTTTATCACTTTGCTGCCATCTGCAGGATCAATGGTTGAGACTCATCTACACTGCTAGTGGTTCCCCAGCAAATCCTTAGTAGTTGCAACGCCTCTTGTTAGGCACATGTTCTATTATAGTAACATTTAGTGTATTAAAAAAAGCAAACTTTCTATGCAGTATGATTTTGTTTGGTTAATGTCAGTCTGTTGCCTTCAGTGCACGTGGGTGGAGACCAACTTTCTACAGTTGTCAATGCTGGTATCAGGTAAGCACAATTAAAAATCCATGATTCCGGTTTTAAGACAACTAATATACTTTTGTGAGCACTCTTTGATATGCTTTAATGTAAAAATATCTCCTTGGCTATAAATAGCTAATAAAATTATCATGATTCAAAAAGTAATTTGACAATATACACATAGTAGCTGGCTGACAATGTTATTAATTCCATTAATATAGTCTCCTATTGCTACGAGATTAGATGATAGGTAAGGGTGGCATCAATTTAAGTATTCCCATTTTACTCTCGGTGGTTTGTGAAAGCTCTGCCAGAATTAGATTTCAAGCCTTTCCTGCCCTGCTATCTGTTCCCATGTGCGGTTGGTTACAACTCAACTCTGGTTTCTGAGACAGAGGCTTGAGAAAGGTGCTGCGTTCACTCTTCCTGTCCCCCCCCCCCCCCCCGTGCCATTCCCACGAGCATCATTAAACAAGCTACAACCAGGTAAGCTTGACTGTGAATACAGAGCATGCCATAATAAATCCCACACAGAGGCACATGACCCAAGAAACATTTGTACTGTGAACTCTGTCCTGCGTATCCTCCAGCCTCTGCATGAAGTAAAACAATGAAATGGGCATTGCATGATGACAAAGTTTTAGGCTATAACTTGTTTGAAAAAGCATTCCAAATTAAAGGTATGGATAAATTCTGTAGTAGTATTGCAAGTAAGTTGTTTTTTTTTTTTTTTTTTTTAAACTTACCAGATTCTGTATTGGGCAGTAAAGTTCAGTATAGCTGTGGGTATGCATTTAAAGCCTCACTATGCATAGGAATTTTCTATATACATCTCATGTCCTGTGCGCTGCTGTTCCTTAGGTAAGTCAAGTCATACACATAGGGCGTGCCTTTTTAAATTTCTTTCTTTTTCTTGGGGAAGATCACACTCCTACAGTGTCTTTTTTTTTTTTTGGCTGCAGTCTTGTCTGTTTAGTCTGTTGCTCCTGTACCATTGCAGTATGACATACTCGTAATATTGCATAAATGTGCAATCGAATGAAGACTGATTATCTTATAACCTTAAATGCAGGCTGGATATAGCTAAAAGGAAAACATAACTTTTATCTTTGTTTCTAGTTCCCCCCACCCACCCAATAAGCACTGAGGAAATGTCAGATAATTTGCTAGCTTAAGGTAGTTTTCATTGAGACATCTTTTGAGGTGAGCAGTACCATAATTCCAGATGCTCAAAATTGTTCAGAACAGCCATTCAGAACAGTATTTGTTAGCAGTATGAATTTTCCAGTCCATACTTAGTTTTAATTAAATACAAATTTGCAGTATTTGGTGTTTAAAAAACAATTTAGAAAGCAATTAAAAAAAACTGAATGCCCCCCCCCCCACACACTTTTTTTTTTTTTTTTGGCATAAATGTTAAAGACTCCTACCTCCTAGGTTTAAAAAAAAGTTTAAAAAGCAACAACAAAAACTACATCTCTGATCCTTGAAACTGCTAGAATTCTAAAGTAATGAATGGTAATGTTATAGCCTTACTTTTGGCCAAGTTTTAAGATAATTCTTAACTCTAACCCTGACCCTTTCTCTAAGTCACCTCTATTTCTAAAAGCCAGTTCCAGAAAGAGAATACTGCAAAGGGAATCTGTATATTGGGTCTCTGGCTTCTAAATAGCTTTAATTTGCTTCAGTTGGTGTAACAGGAACCAGTTTTAAAAAAAAAAAAAAAAAACACACACACACACAACCCCCACTCACACCTTTCAAGTAGCTCTGGCCAGGCTCTCCCTTACCCTTTCCTCCCAGACTATCCCCCATTGGCAGTGAGTATCAGAAATGTAGACTACACTGCGCGCTGCTTTGCGGCACAGAGCTACTGAAGAGCTTGGACAAGGCTCAGCAGCACAATTCTTAGAGGGCTTAATGGGCAGGAACAGGAGGCTTATCCTTCAAGAAGGGAAACCAAAGAGGTTACAAGATGTGAAAAGGCCCCCACAAAAGTGAGTGAGGAAAGGCTGAACACAACAATTTTTAATCCCAAGATGATGCAACAGTATACACTGGTAACGTGTGTCATGAGCCAGCTCCAGTTCTCACAACAAACAATTTGCTATCAAGTCAAAGGATTATGAGGTGCAGCAGATGATAATGAGGAATGAAACCAAGGTGATGGAGGCATTCTCACCCTTCTGCAGATACAAATGCTCCAAGCTAAAGCAGCTATTTAATGTACAGTTCTGCAAGCTTGCTATCGGAGTTGTACTGGGGCAGTGTTGACTGTTTCATAGCAAACATGCTGTACATTTCAGAGTTAACAAAACTTCCTATTTGTCTCTTACCTTTGCAGTCTCACTGTGGCCTAGCACTTTGCAAAGTGGAGTGGACATGCTGAATCTTTAACATTGTTACATGATGTCTGTTTTGAGATAAAATTCTCATAACTTTGGAAGTAGTCTAAATCAGTCTACAAGACTAATTTCTTAATCATTGACTGTAGTTGTGTGAAATGATTATAATACACAAGGGGAAAAAAGTATTAAAAAAGTAGCAATAGTTATTTGTGATAGTGTAAGTAAAAGCAAGGCTTGGGAAGTAACATCATGGTTTCTATTCAGCATAGTGCTGACAAATGCTATGTAGCACAGAAGGCTTTTCTGTATATCCATCTAGCTCAATTATCTTTCTCTCTGCGATGAAGCATCGCATCTGGCTTTTCCTGCTGGGTGGGAAGCGGCCTGCTTCTATCACTGTATGTTACAGTTCAACTGTCAGAAATAGTTAAAAACTGAGACCGTTTGCAATGTTATGTTTAACAATAAGCTATATGGTAGTATCATTATTAATAATAATTTTTGCTATAAGCTATTCAGTAGGGGACTTGTTTGTCAAGAACGAGTAAACAAACATTACTGTTAACCTCAGAATTTTTATTAAGCAGTTAAGGTCACCGATTTCACTGAAATGGGGAAAATATGTACCTCAGTCAACCTTCCTGAAACAGAACAGCTGCTAGGAAAATAATAAATACTTTAAAGATCTTGAAACGCTGCATGATCCCTCCCCTCAGAGATCAGTATGAGCCCACTTCTTTCTTCTCTGTTATAGCAATAATTGTATACTTCATATGATTTTTTTTTTTTTTTTGGGGGGGGGGGGGGTTTCAACACCAGTGTTTATGGCTTCTTGAACAACCTCACTGGTATCTAATGGTAATATTGCACTTGGAAAAAATCTTTCCTAAAAACACTGGGCTTCAGTTTTCACTGTTTCAGTCTATATTCAAGACTGAGTATTAGCTTACAAAGCAACGCATCACAGGAGAAAGGAAGACCTAATAATAGGCACCCACTCATTTCAAACATGTCAGCGTTGTTCTCAGAACAGCCTGCTTCCATCCATGTGCGATACAGTTCAAGTGTCAGAAGTAGAAAAAAAGTCCATACAACTATGACCAGAACAAGTCGTGTCTCTGACCACTTACAGAAAAAACACTTTACATAACACCA